TTTTGTTACCGGATCTTTAAGAATTACAGAAATGTCTGAGAGAATGGTCACATATATATCAAAAGTCTAACAATTGTCATATACAAAAGAGAACAACAAACACAAAATGAATCTTACAAAAAACTACAGTAGTTCAAACAGTCGAGAGAAAATTTTCGTTACGAACATAAACTGTATACAGGGAAATTTTCGCCCCGTTTTATTTTCGCCACTTTCGCCCTCTTCGGAGGTGGGAGAATTTAAAACGGGGCGAATTGAATATAAAAAGTATAATATCTGTAACAAAATCTTTATTGGCGAATTTAAAACCGGGCAAACTTGTTTCCAAATCTTGAAGAGGCGAAAATAACACGGGGCGAAAATAACTCTGTATACAGTATTTAGATCGAAGCCCAAGCCCATTTTTGCTGTGATTTAAATTCATGGTAAATTTTGGTTAGTGTCAAGAAGGTTTATTATCATTGAACTCACAGAAAAAATGGAAATCTTAATATTAAAAAAAACATAAACCTTTCATTGCTAAAATTATATTTTAGATATTTTTATGATGGATTCCCATGTCCCAGCACCTCATGTAAATTTTATGTAGAAATTACATATTAATGATATATAGATACATGGGAATATATGTATTTTTTATATTCATATTTGCAGAATGGTGCATACTTATTTTTATAAAATGTCAATACTATTGATTCAATAAATTTATTACCGTACAATAATGGACTCGAGCTCTTTCGGTTGTGTATATGGTTTGTCATTCACCAGAAAATATCAATGTTGACCCCGGTGAAGCCTAGTTCATAGTTGTTTTACAGGTTACGTATTTAATTTAGTGGTGTATTTGATTTAGCGATTTAAGCAAAGAACAGAGTCTGCTAATTAAAGTACATCGCTCAATGTCTTGTATATAAACTTTTATAACTAGCAAATTTAGACAGAGCCAAATCAAATCTACGCAAACTTGTTGAAAATTGAATTTCCGCCAAATATCATACACGCCAAATATAAAACATTTGAGGTATTTTATAGTCAGGGTTTGAATGAATACGAGTTACCTGACGATTCCATTTTTATTAACGGACTTCTTTCGTGGAAAATTTAAAAAAATTATGTTTTGTATTATAAAATAATTAATTCATGCTTTCCTTCTGCTATATGAAGGACATCGAAAATCTGCAATGGACGTGCCTTACGATTATTTTGCTCAGATAACAGCTTCCTCCGGCCGTTGCAGCCATTGTTTTCAACGTTGTTTGAGGTACTGATTGTGACGAGACAATACCGATGCACGCGCACTGTCCCTCGCAAGAAGCGATAAATATAACCGGGTAGTGTAGGGTAGCGTTGTGAGAATTCCATCGTCATCGAAAGCAAGTTTCTTTAACTTGCCTGTTTTGGATGTTTTGGAGGTGCGTGTTTGCTCTGCTCCTATTTTGTTTTGTTTTATGGATATTGATCTTTAAAACTGTTTTTTATCTCCATATGCTTCATTTAGTAAATGCTAAAACTAGCAAAATCACTGTCCAATGATAGAGTCTGCGGTGCTGGGGTGGGGGATCCGTCGATGTTATCGTTAAATGCTTTTATACTTTGAAGATTGCCTGTGCTCTGAGAATTTGACATACATACAAACTAAGTGCATGGTTATGATGAGCAAACGTGCTTCTTCAACATTGATAAATTCGTATCGGATTCCAGTGTTCAGGCAGCCAAGCTCTATTGAATATATTGATTATATGTTATATACGGACATATACTGTTTGACCAGAAAGAATAAACAAACATCTTGTTTTTTTTTTTCATAATATGAACAATAACTAAAACAAAACATTAGGAGAAAAAAATATTTATTTTTGACGTTTAAGGAAGAACAAAGTTGCCAGCAAATGCGTACCCGTCATGAGTGCGATGTCCATAAACGATTATCCCAAATGTTGAATGATCCGTTGTGGTTATAACGTATGTACCCATTTCAACTTGAAATGTGAAAATTTGGTAGAAAATTTTTCCTACACCTCCGTGTTCTATTTTCACTAGTTTATGCTTAAAGGCATTTTCGCCGTTAATACGCAGGTTGTATTCAGAATCTATGGATATAATCACGGTCATGAAGTTTTCTGTGTATCCGTCAGGCACAGTGATCTTGTAATAATTAACATATTGATTAACACCGGGTATGACTGTCATATAGGAGTTATTTAAATTGAATCCCATTCCAAATCCAACAACTAAAATAGGTTTTTCTGAAACTAAAAGTGTTAATTCATTATAGGATATATCCTTAAATTCGGATGCATTTGAATGCCACCTTAATACAGAATGTAGTCCTATGCTACAGTTAATAAAAGTTTGGTTTGCACTGAAAACCTGTAACAATGTTTCATTATTGTGATGCAAAGAAGGGATGGCATACTCATTATCTAACTCATTAGTAGGCGGCGACTCTGTTAACATGTGACTGCAGTCTTTTGACAAGTTGGTCCATCTGTGAGATGGATTTCCAGAAAAAACAGCTATTGGTTTTATGGCGGAGATGAACGTGCCCGGAAGATCTGTGATATGACTTATTTGGAAAGTCTAAAATCTATCCAGATTTAGCACAAAGGTGTTTCCGTCTCCGTATGTATTTCCCAAGAGAGTTATTGACGAGGTCTTTTTCGTTTTCAAAGTTATCTTTATCTTGGTTCCAACATGCAGAGGTAACAAAGCAAACTAAATTAAATCCAACGAGATATCAAATGGCTCGGTTGAAGAAACAAGGTATTTGGTTGAAAGCTTATTTGTTGGTATCATAATTGTTCCGTCGTTCGTTTTATTATTTAGACTGTCAAAATAGTAACATTGGACACCTCTGAGGTATGTAAGAATAATCCATTAGGTTCAGTCTTCATGTATTCACATTGCAATTCCAAAGGAAGAGTGACAGGAGACTCTGATGTTATATTAAATGTCTTGTCATCTGATGATTTAAGGTTCGTATTCAGGTTTGGAGAAGTTATTGTGACCTCAGTTTCATTTTCAGTTGTAATATAGATCGAAAGGTTTCCAGTGAATCCAGCGCGGTTTTGCATGAACAAAATAAGGAATTCTCTACCTATGTTTCCTGTAAGGAATTATAAATTAAAGAAACTCGAAAACATCATTTCTACAATTCAAGAATCCAATGGTCTAGATATAAACACCAATGTTTTATTTCCTTGCTTTATGAATTAATACGTTAACGCTGTACCTGTATATGTTTGCACTTAAGTCGGATTGGATGTCGTTGTCTTTAGTGTTGTCAAGGAGGAGGGTCACCATCACCTAATAATTATATTTGTATTATAATATCTGATTTATATCCTACCGCATGTTCTCATCTTTCTTTGTCGTATTCTCAAGAAAGTTTTGCATAAGAAATTTCACAGAAATATGTATCTTCAAGATTTTAATAAAATTTTAGCAAAATTTCTGTATTTAAAAAATACTCTACTAAATTTATCGGTATGTTGATATCACTGAAGGAGTACGGGGCATGACAAAAAAATTGATGCAGAATCCAAACTTTAACTCATTAATTTTCTGTAATTTGCGATATTTTTCGCTAATGTTCTCATATATACATGTATCTTTAAATTGTTTTATTATCATATATTTGGATCTCTGACGTAATATTGGAAATACTAACAGAAATATAGTGATTTTTCTCTGATGCGAGTCCTGTGAAAACAACTGTGAAAATGACGTCTCCTGAATTGACGGCGCACTACACCTTTGTTTATTTATGTGTAATGGTCGAGACATAGATCCAAAATATGCATAATAAAACATGTAGTAAACTACGGTATTCGTGACATCCGTCCACAAATAGCAAATTGAAATTTTAGACCATGATACGGGAGGACGGGAAGGAGAGCATCGACGAAAATTCAATTTAGACTGACGGTTTAGGATAGCTCAGTCGGTAGAGCGCTCGCTCCGTGATCGGAAGGTAGTGAGTTCGTATCTCGGCCGCGACTGACCTAGTCGTTAAAATGGGTAGCAGCTGTTCCTTCGCCAAGCGCTCGGCACTTTGAAGTGAAAGTTGCGGATCCTTCGGATGAGACCTTAAAAACCAAGGCCCCTTTCAGCGGCAGGCGTTGGCACGATAAAGATCCCTCACTGCTCAATGGCCCTGAGTGTCGTGTAAAGGTCAAAATTTGAAGCCCTTCATCGGCAAACGCTGACGTCTCCATATGATTGAAAAAAATTCTTGAGAGGGACGCTTAACAAAATACAATCAATCAATCAATCCCGACTTTACAGAACTTGATTGAGAGTCACCAATATCACACTATATCTCATAAATACCTGCAGTTTTTGGTTTTACAACAAAAACTATTCTTTACTTGTTTTAAAGATTTTAAGTTTGACAAGAAGAAGGATATGGAGATAAAAAACAGTATTCAATCTCAAAGAAATGGTGTTTGAATGTTGAGTAGATTAGGTAACTCAAGATATACAGGTACTCTTGGGAAAATTTTGAGAAGATGAAAGCTCAATCACATAAATTCTTTAATGCCTTGCGTCGAAGATTTTTCTGCTCCGTGACTTAATGATAAGTTTAAAAAAAATCGCTCAAAATTGATACCAATTTACAACATTTTGATATAAAATTTTGAAGACCATATAAGTAAAAAATTGTTTCTATTATGTGTGACATTTTGCCCGATTATGTCGTCAAATATTTTTCTGTGCAAGTCCGCGTAATTTTTGAATGGCCTTCGTGGATTTACTAATTATATCCTTTTGAGGAGATAAATATCCTGTTATAAAGAGGTAAGTAACTAGTTGGGAAATAAACATTAAACATTAACTCAAGCTATTCTTTCGTTCATTGCATTAAATTCCAAAACATACAAGTAATAAAAAGCACATAAAATGGTTTCAACATTGATTTATTTAAACTTTAGATAGCCTTGATAGAGTAAACATTTAAACGTTTGATGATACATACAACTACCTCTGTCATTGTTTCCCAAGAAAAAAGAAATTGTTTTCAATGTGATATTCATTTTTTTTTAATGCAAGGTATACCGTTCCTTTACAAACTCATGTTTCATTCTTTTTAAGTGGAGCTGTTGAGTAATTTGTTTACCACCCAATTTTCTTTGAAACGGTCAGGGTTAATTTTTTAGTAGTTAATTGAATCCATAAATTTCCCTCGACTTCAGTTACTTACATTGAATGTTACATAGGTCCCTTAGACAGCATTTTGAACACCCGTCTATATTTCTTTTCCCAAAAATGTCTACGCTTGAGGTACAAGCCTGAAAAGAAAATAAAGATACTTTAGAAAAGGTTTTTTAATGAATTTTGTAATAGAATGATAATCCAATCAGTTAATTGATATATAATTTTAGAAATAAATTACAGTTTCATACTGATAAAACATGTCTTATAAAATCTTGAAATTGAGTTCGGGGGATTGTACAAAATATGCTAAATATTTACTTGATGATAACGAAACTTGGTATAGAAACTAACAAAAAGAATAAGAAATCTTATAAACAATATTATGGGAGTATACACACTATGTAACATGTAAAAAAAAACAAAGTATCTCAATATATCCCGGTTAATATATCCTTATTAAAAAGATTTAATTAATTTTAAAATATCATTCTGACTTTAATTTTGAAAACTTTCTGTTCATATTTATAACGAAAGTTTTGAAACGAAGCAAAGTTTGTTTTTGCCATAAAGGACATAAAAACACTTTTATAATACATAATGCGTTTAATATACAGAAATCGAAATGATACATGTTCCTTCAGCATTTCTTTAACTTACTGATGTGTATTCAATGAAGAATGTATAAATTCCTTTCTTACCTGTTTATTGATGCAACCGGATGTGTAATGCAAGTTTCCAGACTCAACCTCTTTCTGCAGATAGCATGCCTGTATTCAATATATAGAGAATAATACATACCCATTTCCATATCACATCCTGTATCAGCCAGAGACAACAATATTGGTCGAGGGCTGACACTAGATATACTGAGGAAAAGGGTATGTTTTATTATGTTTTTTTACATACGTATTAATGAAACACATTACACATTAGGTTGAGAAAAAAAGTAAATAATCATGCACAGACTTCCTACATGTACAAGGTCTATTGTCTCATATTGTTTGGGTTTTATTTCTACAAGTACTTCTATTCAAAATGTAGGAGTGGGAAATTGAAAAGTTCAGAAAACTTAGAATTGATAACATGTTTTCAATTTGAATAAAATTTATGACTTTCATGTCAATAAAAAATGATCATATATACACATGTACCTATCGGGAGATCATCTTATTTTATAACGTCAAAAAACACGGAAATGACGACAGAATCCGTTGTTTCTAGTATACGAGGGGCATTTCAAAAGTTCTGGCAACTGTTTAATAAAAGATTAACCGTTTTACGGAAATTATTGAGTTTGATATCATTGGAAAGATCAGAAAAATATACACATATTGTGACGTCACTTTATAATTTTTATGACGTAAAAACTCCGAAAATGACGTCAGAATATAGAATGTTTAGCATACTGACCATAAAAATGACGTAACAAAAGACACAATTTGATCAAATTAAAATTTCCAAGACAACTTTTGCTCATTACTCGGACGCAAAGTAACGGACGCAAATGCCATTTGGTGGACTGTTTACATAGACTACAATCTATCATATGGTATTTTATTTTGGAGATCTTCTTGTTCTGAAATGGTTTTAGCAAGTGTCAAAATTAGCATGGTTTTATCGAATCTCGCTCAAACTTTTGTGTAAAGGAGACCTAAATGTGAGAAAAAGACAAAGTTGACAATCAAAGAAAAATAGGCGATCGTGTTACAAAATTCGATGGCATTAATTCGTCAGGTGTTTTAACCAGATTCGTGGGATCGATGAAGACTCAAGAGAAGTTAAGTTTAGTGTGCCCAATATTTTCGCGTAAAATCCAAAATGGCGGCGGCGCAGTTGTCACCCCACCGTACCTCCACATATTCGCAAATTTTAATGCATGGAAAATAAATAAGATTTTAAATGTCTGAGCAACTTATATTCATGTTTTGGATTCAAAAGTCAAAAGCAGTAGTGAGTTTTGGGGCGCCGAAGTTGAATTTATATGAAAAAATACGCACAGAATCAAGTCGGGGACAAGATTTAGTACATTTTATTCGCGAACGGTAAGAGTCCTGTTACTCAAAATATATTTGAAAAAAAAACTTCATTAATATACTTCAGTTTAATACAGAACATGTTTTATTTCAAACAATAGAAAGCTATATAAAAGACCGAAAAGCCAGCCGTATCATGTAAACAAAAATCCTAAATGAATATCTATGATAGCATAACCGGACAAAAACCGTGCTCGTAAACAAACCATACAATGAATAATGGAATTGCTGACAAACAGTATTATAGTCCTACTCTACCTCTTTTCAAATAAAAATTTTCTATGAAATATCTTTTAAAATAAGCCTTTGACAGAACTTTTACGATCGTCTCATGTGGATAAAAACGCGACTTTACAGTATGCTAAACATTCTATATTCTGACGTCATTTTCGGAGTTATTACGTCATAAAAATAATGAAGTGACGTCACATTCTGTAAATATTTTACTGATCTTTCCAATGATGTCAAACTCAATAATTTCCGTAAAACGGATAATCTTTTATTAAACAGTTGCCAGAACTTTTGAAATGCCCCTCGTACTAACCATAAAATTGATATAAATAGAGAATTTTTGTTGAAAACCAGATTGCAAATAAGATTCTTATTAAATTAATAATTGTAACCTATATAAAGCTGATACCTGATTAACTTCGCATACTTTCAGTCGGTCACAAAGAGTTGGATCTGATATGTTTTGACAATCAAAACAAATAGGTCCCCGATTAGACGGATATCCTGTAAAATATCACATACACGTATTAGTATTTTTGATTCATTTTTATTATATTTTAAATATAACCTTTATTTTGTTATTTGTTGTAGACTATGGTATTGGAAAATATTATATATACTTTGGAAAAAAAATGACAATCTATAATATTGCAATGTCTTAATGCTCTTTACTTGAATAATGTGTCTTAAGAACATCATGTTCTGAATCACTTTTTCTTTGTTATTGCATTATCAGGTGTGATAAATGCATTCAAAATAGCGCAGGCATATCTTTCTTTAAAGGTAAGGCCATTTTGCTACATTTATTATTATAATATTCATTGAACTTGAAACAGAATTTGACACGTCCGTTTCATGATTGGATTTATTACTAGAAATAGACATTTATCCTCATCTAACAACAAAGCTTTATGATGACATTTCAATCGTCAATACCTTTTTAATAGTCTTCATTTAGTAAGTTTTATGGTTGATACAACGACCTTGTCAGCAAAAACACCCTATCATTGAACTGGAATTCTCATTAAATCAAATACAGGCTGATTTTTCCCATTCTTAGTGATCGACTATATTAACACACTGAATTTACAAGGGATTTGTCCATCATTTCCAGATCATGATATAACACACGGCGGGTGTGACTGGTCGGCAGGGTATGCCTAGTCCTCTATGGATAGGATACCACATCGGATGTATTTAAGATCCATGCTTTCTTTGCTCCTGATTTCTATACTAACTTTTGAGCTTAGATACTATTTTTGTTATGTGTATTTCATTTTGTTTAGAGAAATATAAAAATACCGAGCACTTATGAAGTCTGTTTAACATCTAAATATAAAAAAAGGCAAACACAGACCCCAAAAACATCGGAGGTGAAACAGTATGGTATGGAGAAGAAGGCATACTTATTACCTGGTCACACTGTTTATGTGCTGTTACTTTTGATAGGGCATCATAAAAAAAGTCAACGCGTGTATGGAGCTATAAACAATGTCAAACCTGATTGAGAACATCCTTTGTTGTTGCACAGAGGGGAAGAACAACATTCCATACACAGGGTATGGTGGTGCAGTTGATCAACTCCGTGATTATTGTTATGACCTAATCCACAAGCCTTGAAAAGTTCCACAACGATACTTGTATAAAGTCACAAATATTTCTGAAATCACTTTTGGTAATATTTCGGAGTTTAAATAAGAAAATGCAAAATGTGGAAATTAAAATATTTTAGAGAAATAATTAAGCGAGCTAAGGCACTTCATAGACAGAAGAACTGACTTACTCAAGGTAGAGTTATTGCATGCACAAATGACATTACCAAATGATTTTAATCTGCGACGGATTAACTGATAAAATGAGCTACCTTAAAGCGTACAACAATTACAATCTGTATTCAAAAGTATCAAAGCCTAGTACTCAAGTTATAGTCAAAACGTTACCTGGGAAGATTTACAGCCGGTGTCAAACAAAACTGTTCCATTTTCTGACGTATGACTTTTCGTAAAGCAAACCTGTTCATGCCAGAATTGAATTTTTTATACAATATACATGTATATGTATTGAATGAAGGAGCATTTTGAAAAGTTTTTAATTACCTTTCTATTTGAAAACAACGTCAATTTTACAGCAGCTTATGATTGAACGTAATTAATTTTTGATATGGTGTAAATTACCTCTCCGTCATTACATTTTCTGACTGTAGAACAATATCTCGGAGGAATATCATTAGTACAGTTCAAACAGTGTAAAGCCGCTGAAAAAAATAAGATGTCAATATTATATTGCTAATGTATAGGAAGTTCTTTTTTCATCTGGTGATCAGAATATTTTCTATCCTTACATTATCATTAAGTGTGGAAAGTTCAGAATCTTGTAATACTTGGATATATATTTTGTTAATTTGTAATATTTGGATATGTATTTTGTTAATTCGTCAGTGTTGTGTAGGCTTTTGAGATATAATGGTGCTTCAAGCAATGCAAGACAAGCAATATTTAAGGGGGTTAGAAATATAATAATTTTATAGAAAACCCACTAACAACAAAAAGAGTAAGATTAACATATTTTTTGAACTGCCACCGCGGCGTTCCTGTACCAATGCAAGATTTGATATTCCAAATTCCGCTGACATCTATTTCAAAATATTAATATATATGAGTATTTAAGCTTAAAATTTATTACTAACTCAAGAATAAGATTATGAAAATTCACAAAAGGTTCATAATTTATTTTTAAGGTTTTCCTAGATTAATTCAAATGAAAGACTGTTTTAGTTTCGATGGACCAGATATTAAAAAGAAGGGGTTGTCGCTTTGTCATAAAGGATGAAACTTAACAGATCCATGTTAAAATTGCTTATCTCAAGATTGAGGGGCAATATGATAACCAACTGTCCTTCTGTGTTCAATAATCCAGAAGTGAAAAAAAGAATTAGATAGATTACTCAATCATTACATGCTGGTCCCTTCCGACAAAGCAGGTAGCACCATTGTCTTCGTTTGTAAGGTTCATTATAACTGTATTTTAGAAAAACCTGGATTTAATTCTGCAAGTGATATCCTACTTATACTTATACTTCCCTTTCTAGGGAACAAATTCCTCGAAATCATACATGTATGTCCGTATTGAATATTTTTTAAAAATTTCATAGAGCCAAAAGAAATTTGAAGTACCTTACATATATAGGATTCCAAAACTTCATAAAAAATCCCTACAAACAAAAATACATTGCAGGTTCCAGTATATGTTCAGTGAAGCATTTTTGTTACTCCTCACTACCATATTGACAGAAATGAAGGAAAAAACTTTATGAGAACTGTACAACAGTATATTCAAGAAGTCACATGAATCAGATGTGGATGCTAAAAAAGTCAAATGAACTTTTGGGCAATTTGAAATCACAAGATTTTTCCAAAATTAACAACTTGAAAACGTACGATTTTTGAACTTTATACACAACCATTCCCCCGGATAAATTAAAGTCAAGGCTTTTTGATATCATTGAAAGCTGCTTTTTTATTTTAACCCACATATTGCATACACAAGTACTTTGATTTTGACATCAAAAAGATGCTTGAATTTCTGATTGACAATATCTATGTGGTTTTTGGAGACCAGGTCTTCCAACAAGCTATTGAAAGAAATCCTATGGGTACCAATTGCGCTCTGTTATTAGCAGACCTATTTCTCCTCCATGACACCTGATCCAACCTCTGATGTTTCGGATGTACGTGTTCGCTCTGATCCTATTTTGTTTTGTTTTATGGACTTTGATTTTGAATACTGTTCATTAATTTCATACCCGCCTTTCGATTATATAAAGAAAATTGCTGTCTGTCTTTCAAATTTATATATTATGCACAAGTGCTGAAATGAAAAGAAATTCTTAAAATGCAATAAAATTCCATCACAAAGGAGAAAATAAAAAAAATCTTATCTATGTTGCAATGGGAGAATTGTATCACCATTTGTTTTCCTTGTTTCATACCTGTATAGGTTATGCAGGTCAGGAAAATAAGAATATCTGTAAATAGGTACGAAGATATTTATTGATCAATTACATGTATTTCATGCAGGTTCCATCAGGGTCTCCCGTCCTAAAACTTTGAGTATACTCAAAGAAATAATTATCAACTCAAGTCTTGAGAATTACTCAGCTAAGAGTTTGAGAATAAAACTGAGTTTAAAAAATTTTAATTTTTCTCAACTATTTATGATTGCCACTGATTCTGAGAATTATGGGTTTGAGAAAATTCTCAGACTTGAGAGCATTCTCATACCTAAGTATGTTTTATGACAGCGGACCCTGATATGTGTATATATTAACAAAGATAATTATTTTTATTTTGCGTATGATTTCTTTAACAAAGTACATTTACAAATATATGAATATAGCAGAAACGTATGAGTAGAATAACAGCAAAATGCCGAATAAAAATATCAGGCATTTTAATATCATAAAATTAATAATGCAGTGCACGTCGACACGTCCAAATACTTTTAATTTTCAAATGCCTTATATCAAAATAATGTTTTACAGTTTAAAAGCATGAACTTAAAAAAGTCAGCAGTAAGCTACAATATCATTTTCCTTACCTGTATAACGTGGCGACATTTTCTGCAATATTCTTGTCGAAAATGAACACCTGCATAGTTATATAGGTAAGCCGAGGCATAGATAAGAATACACTGTTGATAAAAACAGTGATTTTGCTTTAAGAATTAAAAAAAAACTAGTGCTAATTGTAACGGGGTTCATAACAGATGTTCCCAAACGTTCCTCAACTCACTTTTGGTGCCTATTCCCTGTACGCTTCAATAAATATGGCAAAATATATACATTTGAGACTTTAACAACGCCAAGTTCATTCAGATTTAAGCATTGCATGTGAGCAGATGTGAATACATGTGCGTAATTGCCATGTCATCTTGTCTATACAATCTATATATTTAAATATAGTTACTTAATATTAAAGTATTTAATCCAAAAGTATTTAAAGGTATGCTCATTCAAGTGTATTTTTAATTTAAGTCATTTCACGTACACGCACGTGTATACATGAGCATTGAGGTCATATCTTTTTGCAGAAATTCATTACATCTATCTTTGTTCTAGATCCCGTTGGTTGAAAAGCAAGGTAGTTATAGCTTTTTTAAAGTTTAAGCCAATCAGATTACAGCGCACGTGCATGCACGTCTTTACATGACAATTGCTATATATCATGTTGTAAGATATTTTAATGCATGACTATGTTCAAAATTTCATAGAATTTCGTCCCAAAAAAAGAAAGATATAGAGACTTTTGTTTCAGCTAATCAGAGCGAAGCGCCCGTGAATGCGCGTGAGATCTTGCTATTTTGAACATGTCATACATGTATTGTCCTTGCCATTAATACTGTAAACGTGGTTATATTGACGAGTTGAAAAATTGACGATTTTTTGTTTACGAAAATTGACGAGTGTTAATTTTGACGAAATATTTAAACAAGAGTTATGTATCTTTAAATTCACAGGGATACAAAGGCAGCGTCGGAATCACTAAAATTTAATTTTTATACAGACCATCTACAGTGTGTAAGATTGCACAAACTATCTAAGTGCGTAAGATTTGATTAAATAAACTGCCTTCGTAATTGTAATTCGTTTTCATTACAAGCGGTCAATTGCCTGAGGTGACAAACTAGATCAAACACGGCGTGATAATTACGCTAAGTTAGGCATGCAGTATTGGATACAATGATTTGTTTTTTAAAATATGTGATTATATATCACTATGTTTTCATAACTAATTACAAAAGATATTAAGGTGGAATATCCCTCTGATAGGAGAGATAACTCTTTTGATAAGAGAGATAACTTTCTTCAGACATTTTGTCATGAAATTCAGTGAATTGTCATGTCAGAGTTTACAAATTTCATTCATGGAAACCATTTTATGGTCAACTCAATCAAACTTATTCTAAAGTACAAATGTTGATTTATAGTTTCTATTGCTAGTATGTACATTAATGATTTATAATAATTTACTTAAAACATTTATACTCAGTTCCCTTAAACAGTGTAAATTGAGAAATCTCAATCTCTTAAAGCATAATTCTTCTAAATGTACAAAAATTTCGGATGCAATACTGTTTATAAACATTTAATTGATATTTTGTTTCATTAAAAAATATTTTCAAGGGCAATAATGGAACGATAACTCTTGTTTATGGATGCGTGTTATTTTACATGCACAGAAAACAATTTGTAATTGTGATTTAAAAAGCAGCGCTTCAGTATGTTTTCTAATGGGAATTAGATAGGTATGAGAGTAGATATTATTTTTATATATACCTCATATTTCTAAATTAATTGTGAGATAAAAAATAATTAATCTTTCTTTTTATCATCTCAAATTTTCTTCACGTCATGATTTGACATATTATTCATTTCTGAAAAAGTAAGCAACGCTTCATACTTCAAACTATTTTCCATTTGAATTTAATGCTATAGTTGTTGCTGAAAATCAATGTCTGGATTTTTGAAAAAAAGTCGTGAAATTTGGAGCAGAGGGATATTGTCCCTTAAAAGTAATTTTGATCTAGTTTTAATAGAGGAAAGCCGAGAAAACTAAGCGTTAATGTTGTACAATGGTCAATGTCTGTATGACGCTATATATATGATGTTAAGTTTGACGAGTGTAAATTTTGACGAGAAAAGTAAAATCGTCAATATAGTCAAAATTAGCACATCGTCAAAATTTCCAGGTTTACAGTATATCCTGATATTATGAGTTTCAAAGTATTTCATCATAATGTATAAAGTTACGCCTATATCAATTATATCGGTCATTATACGTGTTGCAAGTGCGCGCCTTTGCAAGCACGTGCGCGCAAAATGACCTGTTTTCGGCAAATCTACATAACATGTCTACTGACACTAAAACATTTTACCTTAATCGGATGAGGAGTTAAAAAGATTATTCGGGTACAAAATTTTCCAAAGAAGAAATAAGATAGAAGAAGAAACAGAGTTAAAACAATATGTATCCCCAACTTCTTTTGGGGAACATTATCAGTATCCTACCATTCATTTTAATGTTTATTTTACAGAAAGAATAACTACACTTAAGCCTAGTGACATGACTTCTTTTGAGGACCCGTCTGACTGTATCTAATTAACTCAAATCTTAATTATTTTACAATTAACACGTTTGGTTATCTTTTTGGTACATTACTGACAAACATTTACATTGAAAACGACGCTTTAAATTTACATGTATGTAAGGTAGTTAAAAAGCCTTCATGTGGATGTTAATACCAGAATGTTGCGCTTGACTGAGTTGTGTGTTAATTCTGTCAGGTTAATATTCGGAGTAGGCGGGACATTTCATCGATCGATTGAAAACCTTATAGCCAGTTATAATATAGCCTCTTTGATATTATGCACAATACAGCATAGTAAACATAAAGAACATCTCAATGATTAGGTCATTTTATTTTTTAAAATAGAGTTGCTGGGGAGGATCGGGTCATGGAGATGTATATGTACTCAATCTCTGAATTCAGATTTCTTCACCAATTTTGGTTTGTTTCTAGGGTCGAAATTTAACAGTCAAATAAACTGACAAAGGAAGCATACTTGTCTATGAAAGCGGGAAAGCGGGAAAAAATCATATTAAAGAAAAACCTCTCTATTTTTTTTCAAAAATTGCGCCACATCGAATATCAAATACCAAACAATCTCTCTTCTTTTTCTCTTTTATCATACTTTTGAATGTACACTACAGTGTAATACTTAGTGCATAGTAATGATGTGCGAAATATCGTTTTGCGAGCTGCATGTGGTGACTTTTTATCACCAAAACAGTTTTATTAATTGAATGTGTAATGTTTTTTCCTACTTGCTGCTAGGATTACAGTGTTAAACCTTCTACGCACTTGAACCCTGTATGCCTATAACATTTTTAAATTCCATGAGCCTCAAACCAGTTAGAAGACTGGGACTACCTCTTTAAAATTCTTTGAGCCCCCAAAACGTCCCCCCTAAATCCAAGGACTGAAAAATAAAATATCATTGTAATTTGTTTCATTTTATACTCCACTGCCCTAGGAAAATAGAGTAAAATATTGAGTGATTGAAAGTTTATATGTTGGTCTCTTTTCGACGGGATGTTAATCCGACCTATATCTATGTAGTGTATTATTTTTTCTGAATTTTTTAATGTACCAACAAAGATCAAAGATATCTGAGTCTACAAATCACAGGCTTGTCCAAAATTCTCCCTTGAAAGTGCTGAAATTCCAATAGCACTACACCTACGGTTCTTTTACACAAATTTGGACAGGTATGCACTCACCATGCATTCCAGCTTTGAGAATTGGTGTTACTTTGAATATAAATGACAATTCGTGAATTACAATGAACGCCGTTTACAATTCTCAGCCTCGTTATTCTATTTTCACTGACTATAAATTTCTTAAATTTTTCAAATTCGCAATTTAGACCTAGAATCACTTTATTTATCCCATTATGCTATTTTTTATACTTTACTTTTGCAAAGTATATCCGGGGCTACATTTTGTGCACTAAGTGCAATCATTCTTTGAAAAGACAAAAAAATGTTATGTTATAGACATAGTTGGAAAGGCAGAGAATTTAATAGTCCTATTTATTTTAATCTCTCAGAATCTGATGTAAAATGAGTTTTATTATTTTTATCTAAATGGTAATAATAATTTGTTGTTGTCTTCTTAGGAGTAAAGATACCAAATGATAATTTCTTTGGATCCAACTATTCAACAATTATTTTATCAGGCTGAGGAAACCATGCAAGTTAATAACCATGCAAATTAAATTACACATTTTAAATAAATCGCTTTGAATTTTAGTCCCATAGCCTTCGATAATCATCATGGTAAAATGTTTTATGTGCATTAACTTAAAGTACCAAAACACAAAAATTTTCCTTTTATTAAAATAAGAAATAATTTAGTACAAATCACTTGAATGTACAATACGTCGTGAACGTCAGGGGAGGACAAAATTGCCTGCGAATCCGTATCCATCCTGGGTGCGGTGTCCAAAAACAATAAGACCAAATTTGGAACGGTCTGTTGTATTTAAAACCCATGCGCCACTTTTAACTTCAAATGTACGAACATTGAACGTTTTCCCTACCACTGCGTTGTTCTGATATACAATCTTATACTGATAAGAAGTACTGCCGTTTATTCGAATGTTATTTGCTGATTCTTCTGGAATAATCACAGAAATAAAATTTTCCATATATCCGGCGGGTACAGTAATTTTGTAATAATCAACAAATTGATTAACTCCTGGTATGACTGTCAAATAAGAATTAAAACCACCATTACCCATTCCAAATCCAGTCACTAAAACAGGCAACTTTGAAATTAAAGCTGTTATTTCATTTGTCACCTCCAGATTCTTATATTGCTGTGCATTTAAATGCCACCTTGAAACGTTTTGTCCAATGCTACAGTTGACAAACGTCTGGTTTAAACTGATTACCTGAATTAATGTCTTACGATTGTTATAAAATGGAGGCACAACATATAGACTATCTAATTTAGAAATAGGTGGTAACTGAGTCACCATATGACTGCAATCATTTGACAATCCAACCCATCTCTGGCACCGATTTCCAGAAAAGACAGCTAATGGTTTCGTGGAGGAAATTAAAGTTCCAGAAAGATCTGTGGTATGACCGAATTGGAAAGTTTCAAATCTATTAAGGTATAAAGGAATAATGTCTCCATCTCTATAAGTCCTTCCGAAGAGAGTTATTGACGAGGTATTTTTCATTTTAAGATGCATTTTGATTCTGGCTCCATCGTTGAGAGGTAACAGAGCAAACTGACTTAAATCATCTGAGGAAACATGTGGCGATGGCTCAGTTGAGGACACAAGATAATTGGTTGAGAGATCATTTGTGGGTATTATCAATGTCCCGTCGCTTGTATCCGTGCGATGACTATCAAAAATAGTTACTGTTGATAGTTCTGAGGTCTGTACGATAAGTCCTTTTGGCTCAATCTTCATGTATTCACATTGCAGTTCAAAAGGAAGAGAGACCAAAGAATCCGAAGTAATGTTTATTGTCTTGTCCACTGATGATTTAATCTTTACATTCAGATTAGGAGAACTTGAAATTTTGACCTCGGTTTTATTTTCAGTCGCAATATAAATTGAGAGGTATTTAGGAACATTCCCGAAGTTATGCATGAAGAGAATAAGGAATTCTCTACCTCTGCTACCTGAAAAAAAGTTATGATTATATAATCATATACCATGGTTAACAGTAGTCACAAACCATACATTAATTGAACATTTTGAAGAATGCAAAAATATCATTTGAACCTCTGAAGGTTTCTTGAGTAGTTGACATCGAATTTTTTGGCCTCGTTGTAGAATCAGCTGGTGGCGTTGTCTTTGATGATGTCGTTGTTGATGACATTGACGGGAACATATCAAAACCTAAGAATCATGCTAATATAAGTTTATTTTATAATACCCACTTTTTTGCTTTATGGTTTTTTTTATTTGTTCTTAAGAAATAAAATTCCGAACCACCTGTTATTAAATAAATGTTAAATTCTAAATGAAATCTATTATTAATTTAACACTCAAACTTTCAAAAGAAATAAAATTCCTAATTTTTTTTTTAAGAAGTCAAAACATCTGAAACATATACGATGTATTTGAACAGTAACTTTCACTGGTAGGGTTATAGACAAATTCTCTATAGTATCTCATGAAAAAATATCAATGCTTCAAAATGTAAGCTATATTTCCTTTTATTTCATACCAATAAAAACAACCAATTTCAAGTAAATACATCTTTATAATTGAAACAATGTATGCAATTTTAGTTTGTTTTGAATTCCCTAACGGTGCACACTTGATAAATCAACGTTTTAATATCCTCCAAAATATTCCAGTGAGTTTTATGCTTTATCTAAAGGAGACATAAACGTGCTATCCAATGACTACTTCATATTTGTCCATAGGAGATAAAAACAAATACAGACATAACACGTCCATAAATTATTTTGTCGAATACTAACGGACATTTTATACACCTATTGTCAAACCAATATATACACACAAGCTTTTCAATGATTTTGTTTCATTTTGGTCAATTTTTTACAAGAGGCACATAGAGGATGTGACAGCCAAATGCTTACTTTGCCATGCCACCTGACACCACCTATGATAATTTAGAGGTCTGTGGTTACTTTACTCAATACCTGTATTGTTTCGACAGACATGTGAGCTTGGATACTGTATCATTTGTTTGTTTTTTTTTTTTCAAAATAAATACACAGTCATTTATGTAGCGTAGTAACTTTTTCGGTAGACTTGTGGACATGTAGACAATTTCAAAATTAGACAGGATGACAGGTCTACATGTTTTAAGAAGAGAATCGACGGATTGACATGCAGCCAGTTAGACTAGTCGAGGAGTTGACAGGTTGATAGGTAAATGAGTCGTCAGCTCGATCTTTGTTTTAAAGAAAAATAGTATCCCAAGCTAAAATAGGTGTCAACTGTCAACCTGTCCACCTTTGTTTCGATGAATGAGATTTAGTAATTTGTTGTGAACATTTAAACATTATTTTGAGAAATAAGAGCTTACAAATTAGGTATCAACTGCTGATCTTTGTGATGGCAATACAGTTTAAGTTTTGAATCGTTAACCCTTTAGGGAAAACTCTTTCTTGTGGGCTCTTTCTTTAAATGCATTATTTAACATATCAAGGCAAGGCACTCGCATTTGTTTTATGCAAGGTACTATTCCTTTCCTTTATTTTAACTTGAAAGATGTTATTCGGTTATAGAGATCTTGTTTTCCCTATACCCTAGTTAAAAATTTGCTTAGATAGTCTTGCGGAACTTTAAAAATATTGTCCGGTATTACTTTCTCTGTCGTTACCTCCTGACAAAGGAGGTCGTCTCAGTTTTTATTTCATTTATTTTCATACTTTTCGAAGGTTTGATAATGTTTTCATGTCCTTAATTTCTTTAGACATAATGGAGAATATTTCAATATTTAATTAATCTGTAACTGTATGTATTAAATTTATCATGTAATGGAAAATAAATACACACAGGCAGAATCGAACAGATGTCGTAAAATTTGACCTGGTTGGAAGCAATGAAAAACTCAGTCAAATATATTGAGGAATAAAATGGAAAATCCTAAATTGGGTACTTAATGCAATCTCACAAAAAATTTATTTATTGAAACTTCAGCAATATACTAACTACTTACATTGGCTGTTACATAAGTCTTCCTGGCAGCATTTTGAGCATTTTTCAATAATTCTTTTTCCAATAATGTCCACACTCGAAACACTCGAAACACACGCCTTAAATTGAAAGAGGATTTATTTAAACAAATGCTCCTTAGATAATGAAATGATTACTGTATGAAAGAATCTGGACTTAAAAAATCTGTTTACACTTTAACTTTTTTTTCTAATAAGCAGGCATGTTATGCTGCCTCCATTAATAAACACAGCTAGTTAACCGTTGTTCTTATGATTGATTGAGACGAAAGGAAACATAACGAAACGAAACGAAACGGTGAAAAGATTGTGGGCAGAGTAAACAACTGTAACAACAGTATGACTGTACACGTACTGAGTAAGGCGACGAGTGACAGAAAAAATCTCGTGCAACACGCACGGAAAAAACAAATACAAACAAAAAAGAAAACCAAGGCATGCCGGAAGAAAAAAATCCGGATTACAAGACGGCACACTCCTCGCCTGATATTAACAATATCATCAAGTTTCAAAATAGACATTTAAGATAATGTAAACATGTAATTAATTAAATTACAGTCCATTTACAGTCTCTTGTAATATCTGTTGCACTGAATGACAGAAATGTTCACTGTTCCACAAGAACGATAAGTTCTGATAAGTTCTGAAACGGGACGCACATAAGTTTTGGGTTCACCATTCGCGTTAATACGAATTATCACTTTACGCACTAAATCATCATCACTTGGTAGAGACTTGACAACGATTCCCATTGGCCAAGAATTACGGGGTAGTTCTTTATCGCAAAGTAACACCACATCACCGGATGATAGATTTCTTTGGGGTAGATTCCACTTACAGCGCATTTGAACAGTGTTCAAGTATTCTGTCTTCCATCGTCTCCAGAAAATGGATGCTAAGTGTTGTACCATTGTGTTGTTCCACTGTGTCTGTAACAACTCGCTCTTGTTAACATGATCAGAGAACAGTTTGATGTCTTTAACACTTGTTTTCTGAGTGAGCGCCAATGAAATTTGTTCCTCTGTCAGATCGAAAGACGTGAACAGGCCCACGAATGGCGATAAATCGACGGAGCGCATTTATAAATGAAGATGATGTCATTTCCTCTATGACTTCGATATGTACAGCCCTGGTAACGAGGCAAGTGAATAGAGCAGCCCATCTTTTACTGTTTGCTGCGCCACCTCTGTTACGTCGTGTGATAATGTTCCACGGTCCAAAAATGTCAACTCCAACGTTAGAGAAGGGTGGTTGTCCTGGTATGAGACGATCCTCAGGTAAGTTAGACATTTTCTGGTATTCTGGTACTTTTCTAAGCTTCCTGCAAGTGACGCACTTATGAAGGACAGATGACACAAGTCTTTTACCTCCGACGATCCAAAACCCAGATGAACGAATATGACCCTCTGTAATATGACGTCCTTGGTGTTTGACATCTGAGTGAAGTTTTCTGACGATAAGAGTAGTTACATGATGTTTTGCAGGTAGAATCATTGGATTCTTGAATGAAGCATCAGCACTGAGGTTTCGCAAACGACCACCAACACGTAAAATGCCTCCACTGTCAATGTACGGGTCTAGTTTTTGAATAGGACTGTTTTTTGACAAAGGTTTAGAGTCTTGTAAGTTTTCAATTTCCTCAGAATAGAATTTCTGTTGAATGTCTCTGATAATGACCATTTCAGCTTTGCACAGAAGGTCAACATCACTCATCATGCTCTCTGCTTTACGACACTTCTGAATAAATCCATAAACTTTAGCAACCACTGCTACCAGTTTGTTCCACTTTGAGAATTTTGTGAGGAAATCATTGCTCAGGCCGTAAGCTGATTTTGTCTCAATGTCAGTTTTGTAACAGCGGATTTCCTTGTCTTCCTCGGGACTCACAAGAGGAAAATGTTCTTCAGAAGTTATGATGTCTGTTTTTTCTACGTTAGAGATCCAGACACAGTTCTGCATTTCCCTCGGGAGAATTCCTCTCGTGCTAACATCTGCTGGGTTGATTTCACTACGTATGTAGGACCATTGTGATGGATCACTAAGACTGAGAATGTGAGCAATACGATTAGCGACGTACACACGTAAATCGTTTCCTAGCATTGTTTATGTATCCTAACACAATCCGACTGTCACTAAAATATTTCACATCGTCTATTTCTATCTTTAGCTGTTCTTTTGCTGTTTGTCCTATATTCACAGCAAGTACCGCTGCACAAAGTTCTAGTCTAGGGATTGTACGTCCACTGACAGGGGCCACTTTTGCTTTCCCTAAAACGAAGCCTTGAGAAGTAGAATCATCGGGATAGTGCACCTTTAAATATCAAACAGCAGCTATGGCTAGTTCGGACGCATCACAGAAAATGAGTAGTTCATTCCTATGTGCTTCACTCAGATTAGGAACAATCACTCGAGGAATTTGTAACTTTTCCAAGTCGGGTAAGTCATTCTTCCATTTCTCCCATTCTTCAAGTAGGTAATCGGGTAGGGCTTCATCCCAGTCTGACGTGTCTGAAACTACTTTCCGCAAAATGATCTTGCCCTGAATAATAACTGGGGCGATGAATCCAAGAGGATCATAAAGACGGTTCACAACAGAAAGTACACCTCTCCTTGTAGACGGTTTGTTTTCACTAGAAACTTTGAATCTAATGGTATCTGTCTGTAAGTCCCACAGAAGTGCAAGACTGCTTTGAGTCAAGGTATCCTTATCGAAATTCAGGTCAACAAGATTCTTGGCAAGGTCATTAGAATCAAAGGCTTCCATAACTTCTTTGACGTTAGATGCGAATTTGTGAAGTCTTATGTTACCATACTCCTTCATGGCATCTTGAGTTTTGTGTATGAGGCTGACTGCCTCATAAGTAGTTGCACAAGATTTCAAGCCATCGTCTACGTAAAAGTCGTTCACAATGAAGTCTTTCACTTCCTGTCCATGGGTCTTAGCAGCTAGCTCACCAATGCGACGTAAACCATACATTGCCACGGAAGGAGAGGAGCGATTGCAAAATACGTGAACTTTCATGCGGTAAGTAACCAGTGGTTTTTCAAAGTCATTCTCCTTGTGCCACAAGAAACGTAAATAGTCACGATAGCCTTCATCCACCAGAAATGAGTGAAACATGCTTTGAATGTCAGCAACTACGGCTACTCTTTCCTTCCTGAAACGAATGAGAATTCCCAGGAGATTGTTTATGAAGTCAGGTCCTTGTAACAGCTGTTGGTTCAAGGACACACCCTTGAATTCCGCTGAGGAGTCGAAGACACCACAAATTTGATCTGGTTTATGAGGATGGTAGACTCCGAAAAGTGGAAGGTACCAATGTTCCTTATCCGGTAGTATATATGGACCCAATTCTGCATGATCACTGTCAAATATTTTCTGCATAAATGTAATGAAATGTTCCTTCTTGACGTTGTTTTTTCTTAAGGAGGCATCAAGACATTTAGCACGAAACAATGCTTGTGAGTAGTTGTCTGGAAGTTGTTCACGATTTTGCCGGAAGGGCAATGGAGCAGTCCATTTTCCTTCGGTTGGATCAAGATGAAACTTGTCGTCCATAATCTTTAGAAAAGTGCGATCTTCAATCGAGAGGCCGAGTTTATTGTCATCTGGTGTTTTCTTGAAGATATCTGTTTTTCCGATGACAGTCTTGCTCGTAGTGATGACAGTGTTCTGTATGTTTAACGTTTGTTTGCATGGTTCCAACATTGTAGGTCGACCACTTTTATTGATGAAAGTTCTGTTTACATGTAATGGTGGAATGTGTTTTCCAGACAAACAAAGATCTCCAATAATTGTCCATTCTAAAAGAGATCGTTGAGCAAAAGGAAAATGTAGTGGTCCTAATCTCTGATCAATAACGTGATGTGCCTCTGGAAGATCCCGTCCTATAAGCAGTAGGACTTCCATAGATGGATCTAACGGATGTAGGTCTCGAGCAATATCCTGCAGGTGTGGATAATGACGAGCGATATCCGGTGTAGGAATTTCCGTCTGACTGTTTGGTATGTTGTCACACTCCAAGACAGGTGGTAATTTCAACTGACGATTGTCATTGATTGGCTCGATGACAAGGTTGTCAGCAACACGCCCACTACTGGTAACCTTGCCTGAACACGATTGCATTGTGTAGTCAACTGGCAGAGTTTTGATACACAAAGAGTCAAAAAGGTAACTTTTACCTAGAGTTTTGTTGCTTAAGTCATCCAACATAGCGTAAGTCACAATCGATGCTTGACGTTGACCTTGAACGTATACGTGCACTGGTACAATCCTTGCACATGACTTTCCACTAAATTCACCACAAATATCAGTACAGTTAGAAGAAACTGACTGCTTCACATTTCCAGAAAGTGAGTTTCCTCCTCGCCATGGTTTAGTCGGGAAGAAGAATTCCAGGACATCTGACGGTTACTAACATCCTCATGAAGAGCTGTACAGTGGTAGGTACTTTTACACACATCACACAAAACTTTGGATTTACATCGATTAGCGAAGTGATCTGACGTTTCACAACAACGAAAACAAATGTTATGATCTCGTAGAATGTGTTTGCGTTCCTCGATACTTTTGTTTCTGAAGGCTTTACACTTGTTTATAGTATGTCGAGATCCTTTGTGAATCAAATACTGATGTCCGCCATTCACTGTTTCTGATGAAGTGTCAGTTTTGTGGGTAAACACTGTAGATTTAACTTACTTTGTCCTTTGCGATCAAGGCGGTTCTCCTAATTAGAATCATCAAATATCAACCCAGGATCATTTCTGATGATGCTCATCTCACCAATGAATGCCACAAACTCACTGAAAGGATGAAAGATTACACAGTGTTCTTTCTTGTAATGAACCACACGATTAATCCATTTCTCCTGGAGATAACGAGGAAGTCGTTGAACTATAGGTTTCAATCCAAGAGATGAATCAAGGTATGAAAACATCACACTGTATTCTGGAATAGCTTTCACGGCTTGTACCTCACAAAGTAGGTCATGTAGTTCATACAACTTCTTGTGGTCTGTGAAATCTGTTAAAGTCTGCAGTCGAGATTTCAGGCTTGATTCTATCAACTCAGGCGATCCGAATCTTTCGTCCATACGTTTCCAGATGTTGAATAAGCACAGTTCTGGATTACTCGCACATGAAGCTCTAAGACTCATAATCAGTCTGTTAGCATCTGAGTTTTTGTTTAGTGAAAGTACAAGATGATATTGATTTGGTCCAGTTGGAAGTGAACTCTAACCCATCTTATATGTGTTAAATGAAGTGAACGTCTACTAAGCGTTGATGATTTAGAACTTGCTGTCTTATAAGATGGGTTAGAGTTCACTTCCAACTGGACCAAATCAATATCATCTTGTACTTTCACTAAAGCGTTTTGAACCTTCTTATTTATCTCATTAGAATTCTTCCGTATAGTGTCCAACTCTTGTGTACTATCAGCTGTGTGTTTTCTATCGAGGTAATCACCAAATTCTTCATGATAATCTTTGTAACGCTTGAAACTGTCCTCAAGTTTTTTTTTTCACTGACTTTAATGCATAGATCTCTTTTGCAGATGAAGCACATTCTATCAATACACTTTCAATATCTTCTGAGAAGCGTAAAAGTATGTCTCTATACCTCTGAACTTTTTCTTGATATTGTTCTTGTGCTTTCTGTGTGAGGGTGTGCACTCTACGTGACGTATCTTCGTCCTCTGTAGAAATCTTCCCCAGGTTATGAGCCATGCCTGTGTAGTTGAAACTCTGGAAGATTTTCACTAATCTTTTCACTATGCTGCCTCCATTAATAAACACAGTTAGTTAACCGTTGTTCTTATGATTTATTGAGACGAAACGAAACATAACGAAACGAAACGAAACGAAACGGTGAAAAGATTGTGGGCAGAGTAAACAACTGTAACAACAGTATGACTGTACATGTACTGAGTAAGGCGACGAGTGACAGAAAAAATCTCGTGCAACATGCACGGAAATAACAAATACAAACAAAAAAGAAAACCAAGGCATGCCGGAAGAAAAAATTCCGGATTACAAGACGGCACACATGTTGTGTACTATCGTTTAATGAATGATCTATGAAAGTGTGGTTTGTTCATCACTAGATACAAATGTACATCAACATTGCAAGATAGTATCGAATTGACTTGATCTGTTGACTTTGATCAGGACACCGAGGCTTGCATACATGTTAGTAAAACACCTCTGATCCAATGTTAGATGAAAGTATGATCTCTATAGATTACACAAATCGTTGTTCAATAGTTATTACTGCGTTTGAAGATATAGTAACATACATTTTTTTATAGCTTCTTTGGTATCAAGAAGATTGGGAAACGTGATCAATTTTTACATTTAAAAAATTGAATGAAAAAAGTTTGAAAATCTGACGACACATTTGAATAAATAAAGTATATTGCAAGAAAACCTCAATCAAAAATGAATATAAATTATCCAGATAACAAAAATATGAATACCATAAATCTCCCGAACAAATCCGTAAGGAATAATTACACAATGTACCGCTGGTTTAATTTCTATTTTATTTGGATATTTCAATTAATGAGGATAAGTTCTTCTCCTTACATGGTTATCGATGCACCTTGATGTGTAGTACACGTCTCCAAACTCTAGTTCTCTCTGCAGATAGCACGCCTGTTTTGGTGACAAAACATATACATGGATATATGTGATGTAAATATCAAAACAATAGCTAGTGCTTATTCAACAATAGAAAACACTTAATGGTAAATTTTTTGTTCTAGATAATTTTGTCTTTAAAATATTTGACGATTGGATTAAGTGCTTTTTAAGATACTTTTTCAGTGTTTGTACCTTTCAATAGCAAAAAGAAATCTACACTTTTTAAAACGTGACGTTTACCTAAGACACGGTAAAACATCCTATGTTCTATGTTTTAACTCTTTACAACTTACTGAACTGTTATTCAACATACACTAAATATTCTCGTTATAGAAATAAGAATTCAACATTTAACCACAGGCACCTTTTTAGCGTGGTACACGTTTCTCTAAAGTTTAGCGTAAATAATATTATAACGCTATGTTTTAATACAAAAAGAACTTTTCTTCTTTGATGTAATTTTTGCAAGTATAAAATAGAAGGAAATTGGTATTAAATCAACGATAAAATTAACTTGATAAAGTTCGTGAAAATGCGTGATTGAGGGGAAATGGTGTGTGCGTGATTTTGCGCTAGAATTAGAAAATATTATAAGCGTTTATATGCATGACAGCGGGGAAGAGTGTTAAGATCTACCGGGTATCAAAGAAATAAACAATTAAACATTTTAATGAAAATGTTCCAATGTCCAATGTTTTGTAAATTATTCAATGACATGAAGTCAAATATAAAAGAAATGGAAACTAGGACACTAATGTCGGATCAATCCTCGTATATGATTCTATAAAGTTAAGATTATAACAAGATAAGGATGATAACAACGAGAGACAACGGACACATATGTATTTTGATCAAAAACATATATGGAGTACTCAAAAATGATTTTATATAATTTTTATTTGTTTTAAAATAGGAAAAAGTAGTGTCCGTATAATTTCAATTGAATTTAACATGTTTAAGCAAATACCTGATTCAATTCGCAAACTTTTAGTTTGTCACAAAGCATTGGATCTGATACTTGTGGACAGTCAAAGCAGGCTGGGCCTCTACTCAAGGGATATCCTGTGAAATTCAACATGACATCTTGTCAAATATACAGAGTTTCTCATTATGGTTCTACATATGCATGGATAATATCATAGAATACGTCCTTTACCAATAACAATAATCAATGTTATAAAAGAACAAGGTTACGTTTCAATACAAATTAAGCCATGTGTTTTTTCTAAAATATGAAAGCGATAATAGAAATCAAAATTATTCTTTCTTTATTCATCAGAAACGTGATGCAGTAAGAAAAACACAGATTATTTTCTTCTCCTATGACCTCCTGAATTGGAATTGTGACGTCATTAACTTGTTCATATTCCCGTATTTTCTTAAAAGGTTGCAGAAGTTTCAGTGGAATTTTCTTTCAAAAAAAATATCCTCTGCCAACGTCGCCAAGAACGATTTTGAAATATGTGATTTTCCAAAGCATTTTACATAATACTGAAAATGTATTACATTTAGCGTATATTTGGCAGAAATCAACTTTTGACTGAGTTAGCATAGATTTGAATTAGTGCATTTCTTCTGTTTATTCTCATTATCGTGTATATGTGCAAGCCATATAGCTTTGTACATGATTTAGCGGCTGCACTGTTTCAACAAAGCCTCAAATAAGAATACATTGCCAATTGTAATAAGATTAAAGTATATCAAAAATTCGATTTGGCGACGGTAGCAGTCATTATAGTTTTGAAGGAAATTAGGCATAGAAATGAGTCATTTTGAGGCTATTCTGCACTAAACTTAGAAATGTACCAAAAATGACGCCATATTTCCAGAATGGTCCATTTTCAGACTATTTCCTTTAATGATTTATCATACTTATCTACTCAGTTATTTATCAAGCCCAAACTGATCTTTCTTCTTTAGTTGTAGTCATCAAAATGCTTTCCGTTTTATGTTTTGAAGGATGATACATTTTAGTCAACCATTTACATTTGTGGAAGTATTAAGGACATATGATACGAACAAAAAATGGTTGCCTGGATTGGTATATCTATTCTTTGGCTTACCCTAACAAAAAAATACTATAGTTAACTATAGTTAACTATAGTTTACTATAGTTAACTATAGTGATAACTTTGACACTTTGAAAAACTTTGATGAAAACTTTGACACTTTGAAAAACTTTGGCGAAAACTTTGACACTTTGAAAAACTTTGGCGAAAACTTTGACACTTTGAAAAACTTTGGCGAAAACTTTGACGAAAACTTTGACACTTTGAAAATCTTTGGCGAAAACTTTGACACTTTGAAAAACTTTGGCGAAATCTTTGACACTTTGAAAAACTTTGGCGAAAACTTTGACACTTTGAAAAACTTTGGCGAAAACTTTGACACTTTGAAAAACTTTGACGAAAACTTTGACACTTTGAAAAACTTTGGCGAAAACTGTGACACTTTGAAAAACTTTGGCGAAAACTGTGACACTTTGAAAAACTTTGGCGAAAACTTTGACACTTTGAAAAACTTTGGCGAAAACTTTGACACTTTGAAAAACTTTGGCGAAAACTTTGACACTTCGAAAAACTTTGGCGAAAACTTTGACACTTTGAAAAACTTTGGCGAAAACTTTGACACTTTGAAAAACTTTGGCGAAAACTTTGACACTTTGAAAAACTTTGGCCGAAACTTTGACACTTTGAAAAACTTTGGCGAAAACTTTGACACTTTGAAAAACTTTGACGAAAGCTTTGACACTTCGAAAAACTTTGGCAAACTTTTGACACTTGGAAAAACTTTGGCGAAAACTTTGACACTTGGAAAAACTTTGGCGAAAACTTTGACACTTTGAAAAACTTTGACGAAAACTTTGACACTTTGATTTACTATAGTTAACTATAGTAAACTATAGTTAACTATAGTAAACTATAGTTAACTATAGTTTACTATAGTATTTTTTTGTTAGGGTAATTTCATTGCAAATGATGCGATTAACATATTTCTAGAAAATAAAGAAATTGTAAACCTTCTGTGGTGTTCGAACGTTTGCCGTTCTGAAACCATCCATATTAATCTGTACAAATATTCCTCACTTCAAATTCCATTTTTATGCAAATTTGAATAAAAAATTAAAAACTAAGTTATTCATTTTACTTATTTAAACATGACCCAAGTTGTTATTTTCAATTATTTGACAATAGTTTGTTTGTATCATCTGTCCTTATAAGCATGGGCCAACCTGGTTGTCCACATCCCTGGTTGTTACAAAGATGAGAAGAACAACACTCCATGCATCGATGATAATTTGGGTCCACTCCATGTAGAGTTCTCACATCAGCTTCGGGGTGTAATTGACACGACTTGATTCAGTTTAATGAAAAAAATACATAAACAACTATAGAACTGATTTATTTTTACTATTTATGTTTAAAAAAAATAGGAAGATTTTCCACTGAAGCTTTTTATGGCTGCAATTGAAAGGCCTGTAATATCAACTTACTCGTCGTTTATATTGCTATTTTGTGAGTCTCAAATGTCATATTGGAAAAAGGAAATGAACAATTTAATATAGTTCAATGTAAATGTTCTAAAACGGTTAGTAAAAGCTATAACCATCATTACCATCTCTGTAAGCCAGAGGAGTGCGTATCATTACTCTAGAATTTTTGAAAATTATCCAAGGTTTAAGTGCCGACTCTTTGCAGGATCTTTTTTTCTAATTCATACAATTTTAAATTATTTAAATATTGCATGAAGGTGAGGGTAACATTGAAAATTTTCAACCCCTGAAAACCATTGTCAACAGAGGCGCAGCCAAGGTAGTCAATTATTTTCAAGGGTTGAAGATGTTTAATATTAAAAATGTTAACACATTTTAATTTTCTTAATTTCTTAATATTATACTGAATGTTTTATATACTGAAAGGAAAAAAGAAACGCACAAACATAATATGGGAAACAATTTTTACTATGTGCTCGAAAAATATGAAAATTGGACAGATGTGTATTTTGGTTACTTTGCATTAAAATTGCTAGTCAAAACTACTCAACCAAGATAAGTATGGCGTCATGTAGGGGAAATAATAAAAAAAAAAAGATAACAAGTGCATGTTGATGATTTTATGATAACATTTTGTAGTGCCATACGATGCATTAGAGATCGTTTTGGCATACTGGCGGTCAGTATTATTTTTTGCAATTATGGTTTGGCTGACGGAATCTACTGTGGGTTAAGTAATTGAATTTAATATTGCATAAGTGAATAAAAAGGAAAAAAAACAACCTTTTCAACTTTTTAAACAAGTTTTTTTTGGTTGTCAGAGAGTTAACTTAAAATGTTTTCAGCCAAAAATGACGGCAACGATGGCGACGATGGTGCGTAACAACAAGATAGGACTTTTCATCATGCCACCTCGATTTTTGTCGAGACATTATGACCGAAACTGATATTTATACAGCAGAGAATCCATTATAACCGAAACTGACATTTATACACCAGACTATCCATTATAACTGAAACTGATATTTATACAGCAGACAATCATAAACATTTTTTGTTGCCCGCGTGGCGCAGTGGTTCGAGCGTCTGCTCTAGAGTAGCGAAGTAAAGAGTCAATCTTTACGTCGCGGGTTCGAATCCCACTCTGTGACGTGGAGACCGGTCGGTCGGATAAGACCGTATAAACCGAGGTCCCGTGTTGCAGTGACCCTAAGTGCCAGCATAGGACACAATTTGCTGTTTTCCGCCGGCAAGTGGTAGCGTCTCCATATGAGTGAACAATTCTTGAGAGGGACGTTAAAAAACATACAATCAATCAATCAATCAATCATACTCATTTTTAAATTCTTAATTTACTGAAACTATTTCCTTTTCTACGAGGTGCGAGCGTTGCGATTTTATTCTCAAACGCGCACGTACGCATAGATTGCGTGATTTTTTAGCATGTGTACACTTCAAAAATATTGCTTATATATGCTGAGAGGTTTTTTTACAAATATCCACGTGTACAAAATTTGCTGCGTTCTGAACATTTATCCTAAATCGGAAATTCGTATTAGATTCGTATTAGATTGGTTGGGGGGATTGTTGGCTTTGGCACGATAAAGAACCCTCACTGCTCAATGGCCCTGAGTGCCGAGTATAAGTCTAAATTTGAAGCCTTTTACCGGGATACGAAGACGTCTCCATTCAAGTGAAAAATTCTCAAGAGGGACGTTAAACGAAATACAATCAATCAATCTAATAAACAGTTTTCAAAATTTTATTTCAACCTTGTGTTGAGAACTTAATTGTAAATGCAGCTCCTGCAGATTTCAGACTTATATGCCTCATACTAAATATTTACCTTTGTTGATGATCGTCTTAAGTTCTAATTGTATTGTGCTCTCTAAACATTTCCTCCTTTTTATGTATGCATGACATTTGTTTTAAGTACCAGTTGTTTACTTATGTTCAATTTTTAATTTCTTTGAGTGTTGCTCAAATTTTTTGTCTTTAATTTCTTTCTTTTCTTGTTTTGTGTGTTTACCAATGTCTTTGGTATGTATAAACGTACATTTCATTAGTGTGAAATATGTTTCTGTGTTTATGTCTATGAAGATACACATGTACAACTACATAAAATAATATAAGATGCTTATTAACACAAACGTTACCTGGGGACTTGCACAGCCAGTATCGAACACAGTTAATCCGTTTTCAGACGAATGGCTCTCCGTGTAGCAGATCTATTTATGTCAAATTGTCAAAGAATGTATGAATAATATTATTTGGAGATTATATATACTCTTCAGTTTTGAAATCAACAAAAGATTACATAAACGCAAACAAATCACAACATACCTCTCCGTCGCTGCATTTTCTGACCGTGTGACAATGTCTGGGAGAGACGGAATCAGTACAGGACAGACAATACAGAGCAGCTGTAAAATGTAATTGAATATATGAGAGGGCAATAAAATTTTGTAGACCCCAAGATAAAAATTATTAGCAAAAAACTGATGTTTAAGAGTAGACCACAGTACGAAAAAATGCATCTAGATTAATTTGAGTACATGTTCTTGTAAATATAAAAGCACTGAACATCAAACACAAAGTAATGAAAAATGAAAGCCTTTTTATATTTTATATAATGTAATACATATGTTCTTTGCTTAATTTTATATAAAAAAGTTGACAGCATTTTTTAAAGTACCATTTTTTGAATTAAATAATTTCATTTTATATCACAATACATATACATCTAATTATTTGACATTTAAAATTCAATATTCAATGTTTGATTGGAATTGTGATTTTTCTAGCATCATGATATATATATATATAAATTAAAGGAATTAAAAGATATATATATATATATATATATATATATATATATATATATATATATATATATATATATATATATATATATATATATATATCTTTGAATTCCTTAAATTAAAAAAAAAACTTTTTTTCTTTTAAATAATGCTATAGCAGTGTATTTGTATAGCAAAATATCAACTATTTACACTTACTTGTTTGCGTAATGCAGGTCAGGAGAACAAGAATATCTGTATAAGATTCAACAATATTAATTACACAATTATTCAAGTGCAATCAAATAAACTTTTCAAAAAACTTTCTTTTTTTATTTTGAAAGAAAATCAATCAAAATTAAAGCAAGTCTTTTTATGCAAAATGTTTTTAAAGTTTCTGTTTTTCTTTTACAGAAAATAAATAAAGGTAAGTCTCTTTAAGTACAATTAGGGCACTTGGAAGTTACACTGTAATACATGTACAACAGTACATGCAGTAAAGGAAGCGTAGAAAATGAATCCATTTAGTTGTGGTTTTATTAAATACTTTTTAAATAAGATTTAATTTAAGAAATGTGTATATCAGTTTATTTTTCACATTCATTGGCTACATAGTAAATGTTTTCCAGGTCAAAAAACTTCAATTTCCTTATAATCGAGTCATTTTTAATCTGACAGAAAATACAAAAGTGCAAAAATATGTAAACAACAATTTCTAAAAAAAAAATACATTTGCAGGTGTTGATTAATATTTCGATGGAAATGGTTGGATGTTGTTTAGCGTCCCTTTTGCGAATTTCTCACTCATATGGAGACGCCCTTATTTGCCGTGGGAAAGCTACAAACTTGCCCTATAGGGTCCCAGAGCAGTAAAGGATCTTTCTTGTGCCAGCACCTACTGCGACTTAAAAGATAAAATATATATTTTTTTTTTTGGATTTGTAGGACTGTGGGTCTATGAGAAAACCTTTAATTAGGCAGGGGGCCATACATGAAGTGTCACTCACATTAATGAAATTTTCCCAATTTATAAAAAAGACTCTATTTTTTCGATAAACAATATAGCATATAATCACAAGAAAAAAATTTTCTGAAAATTTTCAATATTGGGGCCCACCAAGGGGGTACCCCATAAGCCACCATCTTTATCATCATTTTGTATTCACAATTTTATAAAAATTGCTATTTTCATTCACTATTCTCTTCTTTTCATTAAAATATTGAGTGATCAAAAGTAAGAACAAAAGAAAATATATATTATTTATTTCATTTTGCACAAATTTTTTTTGTCTTAAAAATCAATGCTATATTTAAACACAGGGGGAATAACTCTTGATATAAAAGAGACTGAAAAATGTGGGAAAAGGGTCGATATTGGACATGTTTTAAAACTGGGTTTGGACGCTTAGATTTTAAATTATTTTGTTTTAAGATAAAGATTGTGAACTTAATAATAATTTCCTACAGGCAATTATTCGGGTTTTGATTATTGGTGACACTGTGCGATTTTGAAATTGAGGAATTTTTCCAAAAAATTGTGATTTTTTGCGACAGAGTTATTTCCCTTTGTTTCATACTTTTATAAACTATATTAGGCTACTATTTAAAAAATCAATATTTTCACTTCAAAAATGTATGTACAGTGACTGAACATTTTGGTAAAAATACTTCTGTACATGTGGATAGACCAGTAGTCTCTGAGGAGACTGTAGCTCCACTGTTTTGTTTTAACAAAGGATGAAAAAAGTAGCCAGGACAATATTAGTTGATGCATATTTTCTTGCACAATCTATTTTGTACTTTGTTAAACCATGCGACATTTTACAAAGTTCAGTTTTTGAAAAGTTGTTCACAAAAAATGATAGAATCTGTACTTGACTCTGATGCCCATCAGCCTGATGATCCTGATCGTATGCTTTTATTAAGGCTTCTGTAAATGCATCAGTTTCTATCTTTTTTCCTCCAGCATGTAATATTTTTTATATAACAAGTGCATTAAAGCATTTTCTTGCAAGGTGCAATGCATTCAAAGGCACACTGAATAACTTCATTGGCTTTCTGTGTCACATAGTCTTTTATAGACTGCTGTACCTCATCTAATGATGTATTCAGGGTGAAGCGTAAGGGCGTGAATTTACCATCAGACAGTTTCATACTCCTGTTTAGCTTTTCTCGATAGTATGTGGGTCGTCTCCAGTAGTCACATACAGTTCCTTAGGATGACTGACTCAGACAAAACTCTGTATTCTGACTGGATTGCTCTGAAAAAGATAAGTTTTGATAAGAGATATTGTAAATGTTGAAGACGACATAATTCTGACTATAATCACACTTCAAAGACAATTCTTCCATGGAATATTAAACATAAGAGGCTCATGGGCCATATCGTTCACCTAGGCACTGTGGCTAGGAAAAAAGCAGAAATCAGTTCAGTATTTTTTTCCCATACAAGTATAAACTTTGATTATCGATCGTGGCCCCGCCCCAGCCCTGGGGGTCATGATTTGAACAGATATGAATCTACACTACCCCACTGGCCAGGATGCTTCCCTATAAGTTTCATCTTTCCTAACACACTGTGGTTCTTAAGGATGTACAACACACCTACCCCAAAATATTCCTGTCGTTTAATTTTCGCTATTTTGTATATTTAGTACATGACTATATCTACTGTGTGTATGCACATTTTGGACAAAATCGTTAGAGTGGTTTTTGGACAGGAAATTCCAAAAGTTACCCCCCTTTAGTTGTTTACGGGAAGAGAAAATTTTTAATCAATAAACTACTTAAACCTTGATTTTCAAAAAAGCCAGGTTAGCTATAGCTGTCAAATTTCATTGACTTATTCCTTTAACCATTTAACACAGAAACAAGAAAATTAAAAAAAAATGTTTTTGCAGATGTCACAGTCAAGGTCACAAGGTCATTGACCTTGGTGTCATTTGAAAGAACTTAATTAAGTAAGCATGCCAAATATGAAGTCTCTATCTCCCATGGTTCAAAAGTTATGGTGAAGGTTAAAGTTGACAACAGACAGACAGATAAACAGACAAACAGACAGGACAAAAACAATATACACCTCAGATCTACCGATCTGGGTGCATAAAAAAGAAGTCTGTGTGTCAATGCTCAGTAGTAATACCCCCACTCTAATAAAAATATATGCTCTCAATCTCATTATGGGTTTTGGTGAAATAAAGGTTTTTATTTTTAATTGGAACTTCATAGGGATTTTCAAAAATGTCTTGAATTTTCAATAAACTGTAAATGCAGAAATAATCATTGGATATTCATTTTCATTTATTTTGTTGTTATAGGTACCAGTACTACTGAGTTTTACTTTGGAAACAACAAAATTTAATGCCTGGAAACTTTTTTTAGGTGACAAATCAATGAAATTTTATCCCTACTAAAATTTGTGCTTCTACAAAAGGATGAAAATATCTCATGTCAGATATGAAAAGACAAATTGTCATTAACTTCTTTTTCCATCCTAATTAATTTACCAACAGATATTTTATTAGTTTGAATTTTAATTTAGTCATTACATAGAGAAATTAAGCTTAAAATATTCAAAAGTACATGACCAACATATGGTGCAGAGCAATGGATGAATACGGATAGCAACAGTTTACCTTATAGTAAACCAAATTTGTAAAAATAAATAAACTAGATATGTACCTTCCACCCCTGAGGTGTGTTGAGAAACAGCTGGACACTGTTCATTGTCACATTCTATTTTCTCTTCAATATCCTCAGTACCAAGCTTAAAAAATTCAGCTGAAATAACAAAAAATATGATTTACATCATTTACATGACAATCATCTTTCCTGGCACAGTGGTTCTTGAGAAGAAGATTTTTAAAACATGCCACCAAATTTTCAGTCAGGGCGTGGCCCTTCATTTGAACAAACTTGAATCCCCTTTACCCAAGCAGACAAAAGTCATCTATTTTCAAAATTATAGCTGAAATAACAAAAAATATGATTTACTCATGTTTACATGACAATGTGATAGTCAGTAATGCAGACAAAAGTATCTATTTTCAAAATTATAGCCCTTACTCTAGCTTCTTATACTTTAATGAATATTTATCATTTTATATATTGTATTTATATTTTAATTTATTTTCTCTTTTTATACACGAGTGGGATTTTATTTCTAAATAATTTGATCACTAGGAATAGTATTCTCACTATTCTGGCTTCAGAGCAATACAGTAAAACACAGATCAACTTATAAAAATCTACAGGATTTCAACCTCACTTTTACAAGAGGAACTAATTCATATGTATAGTTTAAAATAGAGTTTGATTGGCTGTTTTATTTCTCCATTTTTTTTTGTTTTTGGACAAAGAGAGTATATGGGATGTGGTTAATTGGGTTGTAATTTAACTGCCTATATGATTACACGAAGCCCCTTTTAAAAACTTTCCACAGATTCCTTGATATAAATGAAGTAATCATTTACAAAACTGTTTATGTACTCTGATTTTTTTTTTTTGGTAGGTACATCTGTAGTTTTGTTGTTGTGTAATTTAGCACATTGAAGACCAACTTCAAAATTTATTAGTGCTTTCTGTTGTACTTGTGCAGTAAACATATAGCAAGATCATTTATTCATTGCTTTATAAATTTTCAATCTTAAACTAAAAGATGTTAATCTCGGAGAAATGATAAGCCTTAATTTTTTAAAATATTGCAGACAACATGCATTTCCTTATTAATAAAAAAAATCCTCAGATTGGATGGAGGGGGGAAGGGGCTTTGAGTTTTTATTAATTTGTAATTTATTTATTGCTCAGGATAAACATCCTATGGCATATAACAAAATGTACAATAATATTTACATAGGAAATGAACGTGTTGTTATGATGGGAAAAAAAGTCACAATGATACTGTATGACAGGGATCTTATAACTGTCCTTTACAGATTTACAAATGTAATAAATACAATATGCATGTAAAGTTTACATATATCATACATATAAATTATTGGCATTTCCTTATTTCAAAAGCTCTTAAAATATATTTTCCAAGATTACAGAGTTCTTTGACATTATAACACTTAGTCTAATAATGTATAAATAAACACAGAAATCCTCTTAATGAATTTTTTTCTGTTGGTATAAAATGATATTCATCCTCTATATCTTTATGTGAGGACAAAATCTTTGGTCTCTTGGGATATTTTTATGTCTACCAGTTTCAATTAATAGGTTGTGCGAGGACAAACGAATTTTAGAAATATATCTCTTTAACATTTTTGGAATAGGCTTAGTGTCCTGGACATTCATATAATAGGTGTTGTTTGTGGGTTATGCAATATCACATGTATACAATGTACCAACCTTGAACCTATCATCAATGATCAACCTCAATGTCCACTTTAGTGGAGTAAGTTTTTCTGTGCCTTTCAGAACGATTCCTTCATAAACCTGCAATTTAATGAGAGCTGTTAAATTTTTCTTGCATTTCAACAGATATCCATTCTAATTGAATGGGATCACAGGCACCTGAGGTTACTTATTTTTCTTTAAATAAAAAATATAACCCCTACCTTAAAAAGAAAATCATTGTGCATGTGGATAGGATTCTTTGAGATCCAATATGTACACATGAGCTTTGAAGACACTTATGAATTATATTTATTTTTTAATGTACACATTGTAGTCTAGTAACTTACTCGAGTCGATGGTGTACTACACCTAGATGTGATATGATTCATAATAAAAATCATATTGATATCCTTTAGACTCTCCTATCAATTTTATTTGTATGCAGCTTTGTCAATTTGAATGTCATAGCTCTCCACTTTATTTAGCAAAATATATATGGAATGTAAATTATATGTAAATCTACATCGAATCAATATTCTCTCGTCGAATCAATATTCTCTCATATATTACACCAGAAATTCTTAAAAATCATCTGAGGACCAATCAAAATTGTATCCATGTATAAGATAATGTTATTGTAGTGTTCATTATATATCACTTACCAACAGGTACAAGTATCCTCTCTTGTAGCCATATCTCTTTGGAAACGGGGCAATTAACTCCTCTGTCTGGTTTCTCCTTCTGGTCTGGTGGGTGCAACGGGTGTGAACATCGCCTAGAGTCTTGTACCAATAAGTACAAAGACTATTTCTGTGACTCGTTTGACATATTTTGAAATTTACATACTCTTTTGTAACTTTGGTAAAGCAAGAGAACGCCCTCGGGTATTGTCACTTGATGTTGTTTAGGGACAGCTTGACAATGCACCAAGTGTGACAATATTTTTTTTTCGACATGAATATATACTTTCTGTAAGTCCTCCACATGCAACAGAAGTGCATGACCTTGAAAAGTCAAATCTTTCACCATGCCTGGAAGCTGCCATATTCATGCATGTACCTTATGTGTCTCATTCCCTAGAGAGTACCGTAAAGGGAGATAACTATGCTGAAACTTCAAGTTTATGTCTCATGAAAGGCATTTTTAATTAATTAAACCTGTTAATTGTTTGATTTTATTTTGAACAATTATTTTTATTTATAGATCAACATTAATGAAAAATAACAATCAGTTAATAAGCAACATTTGTCTTTTGTTTATTGTGTTTATGTTAATTTTCACCCAAATTTCTCTGATAATTTAACACTGATTAACTACTCAAAAACGACAGATTTTCTCAAAACCCAAACAATTCCAATTGCATAGAGAATTCAAACATACTTAACTTTTTAATTAATTTTGAATTTAAAAATAATAAGCGTCCTAACCCTGTTTAATATGAAGATTTTTATGGTACCTTTACATCCGAAACGATATTTCTGTCAAAAGAGACATTTTTGACGGGTTGCTATGGCAACATTGCATGTTTGACAAGAAATCTTTTTTTATCAAACATAAATTATAATCTTGAATTTTTATATTAAATAAGTAGTTTATGTGTAAATGATTGCTTTTGGCTCTAATGCTGCATTGAAATTGAATGAAATTCCCCCTTTATTTGCCCTTTCTTATGCTTTATTTTCCTGGTTTTAATGACGGCCCTGTTACTATAAATAGAACAAGCTATCAATTTTCTCACCTCATGATTTTTTATCAGTGATGTGTACCTTATCAATATTTAATGGAATAATGACATTTAAAAATACCTTAAAAATTGATATTTTACAATTCTGCCTGGTTTTCTCATAGAACCACAAAAAGTTATTTGTGTGATTAATTGTTGACACAATTGACAGAACACCTCCGTATATACATGTATTTGATATCTTACACATTAGGCAAGTGCCGATTGCATTTCTATATTGGGCATTTATTGTTATCTCGTATGACTTGGGCACTTTATTTTTTTAACATCTACAAGCTCTTTGTTCACCAAGGAAGATTCATCTAACAATACACACTGTTTGACTCGCTTTAGATGCAGGATCTACATTTTGTAGATTAGTGACCAGGTTAACATTTTTGGTGCAGACCATTTACCAGAAAAGTATGGGGACTATCAGAAACAAATGTGCATGGATGATGCATCACATGAAAACTTTCATACTTACATGAAATGCTGAACTTGATTATAACATTATCTGGATGAATGACGAGCTAAATGCTTTTAAGTTAAGTCCATCTCCAAGTAACTGCAATGCAAGCCCTATCAGATCAAAATTACATACATATTACATCTATGAAGGCATGCTACTAAATAATTAGTTTAGTTTCAACTTTATACACAGCCATTCAACATTAATTTTGATATCACTGACAGCTGCTTTTTCAATAAAATTGGAATTCGAAAATTTGCTTACCTGCTTATTCATCATTTACGAATAATAGGTGTATTAAAACATTCTGATTGCGCACACAAGTACTCTGAAGCTGACATTAAAAAGATGCTTGAGTTTCTGATTGACAAAATTTGCGTGGTTGTTATAGATTAGGTCGTCCATTAATCTATTGAAATTCCTACTGTTACCAATTGCACTCAGGTTTTAGCAGACCTACATTTGTATTCCAATGAAGCAGAAACTATGCATATAGTATGCGTGGAAAAAAAGGAAACGCTTGCTGGGAGGTTTAACGCGACATTTAAATATTACGACGACGCATTTCAATTAACAGTGGTAATTTCCATTCCTTTTTCGATAAGATATATCTTTGTGAGCTTAAGATAAATATATTAAAGAGTCTGACACATTTGTTTCATAGTTTGGTATATTACTCGAAAATGAATTAACAATTCGAAATCATACAATTGATATTTTTTTTATATTCATGGGAGGACAAAATTCCCTGCAAAACTGTAACCATCACCATATTGATGACCATAAACAATAAGTCCAAACTGTGATGCATCAGATGTTGACAAAACAATAGTTCCATTTTTGACTTTTAAGGTACGGATACTGAACGATTTTACTACGGTCGAAGAGCTTTGATACACAACGGTATAATGATGAACAGAAAATCCGTTAATCCGTAGGTTGTTCAACGATTGAAATGGAATAATCACACAGATAAAGTTTTCATCATACCCTGCTGGAACAATAACCTTGTAATAATCGAGATACTGGTGGATTCCTGGTACGACCGTCATGTAAGGCTGATAGGGCCTACCCATTCCGAAAGCAGTAACAAGCACAGGCTGATCTGATTCTATAACTGTTGTCATATTTGAAGTTACTTCAATGTTCCTGTATCCTTTTTCATTTAAATGAAAGTTTGATGCACTGCTTCCAACACTAGAGTTTACGGAACTACTATTTCCACTGAGCACTTGAATTAATGTCCCGGCGTTTTTATAAAAAGGGGGTACGATGTAAAGAGTATCAAGCTCTGTTGTCGGAGGAATCTGTGTTACCATGTGACTGCAACCCCATTTCAAATACTGGCATCTATTTCCAGAAAAAGCTGCGATAGGATTCGTAGACGTTATGAAGGTGCCAGAGAGATCAGTTGTATGAGCAATTTGTAATGTATCAAATCTTTGCAACATTACTGTGAAAACATCTCCGTCTCTGTATGTTTTACCTTGTATAGTCAGAGGAGTATTGTGCTTGAATTTGAATGTAATCTCTACATTTGTCCTGTTATAGAGTGCTCCGATAGCAAATTGACTGTACAAATCAGTACCGGTATTATATGGATCCGTTGAAGAAATAATATATTTGTTTGAGAGTTTATGAGTTGGAATAATCAGAGTCCCATCGTTTGAGGTCTCATGAATACTATCAAAGAGTGTTATGGTTGACAATTCAGAAGTCTGGAGTATTAGACCTTTATGTTCTATAGTAAAGTAGTCACACTCAATGTGTCGAGGGAGAGAGAGTTTGAAGTTGTTGGTAAAATTAATAACCGATTTAAAGTTTGCATTTAAATGAGGGGATTTTAATATTTTTACTGTTGTTCCGTTGTCTGTCGTTAAGTAAACACTCAAGTTCCCAAGCGCTCCATGATAATTCTTCATAAATAGAATAAGAAACTCACGGCCTCTACTACCTGTAATTGAATTTTGAAATACGTAAAGTAGCTGAAGCATGTGTTTAATTTAATTTTCAAAATTTAAGAAGTTTTACCCGTTGATCTTGGTGCTTGAGTAGTTGATGCTCTTGTTGTCCACGTCAAGGACGTTGAGGTGGAAGAAGGATTTGTCATATCACCGCCTACATATAAGAAAATTAAAAGAATATTTTTTGTTTTAATATTACTTTAAAGGCATATGATACAAATAAAAAATGGATGCCTGGTATATATTTTGGCCTAATTTCATTGCAAATGATGCAAATAATAAATTTCTACAATAAAAAGAAATTGTAAACCTGCTGTGATGTTCAAAAGTGTGCCCTTCTGAAACCATATTAACTTATTAATCTATACAAATATTTTTCACTTTAAATTTATATTTTGTGCAATTTTAAATAAAAAATTAAAATCTATGCGCTGAAAATAATTCATTTTATTCATATAAACATGACCCAAGTTGTTATTTCAAATTCTTTTACAAAAGTTTGTCTGCATCATCTGTCCTTAAACTTGCATAAATTTGAGAAAATTGTATGAAAATTCTCCTCAATTTTTATAATTATCAATTTTATTTTTATCTCAGGATAAAATGCAATACCACCCTTCAAATATTAAAAAAACAGTGATGAAGCCATGCTTGCACTTTTGACGTTCACATTAAATATGAGATTTATATGTCACAATGCTCAACAGAGTAATATTTAATACTTAATAATATGAATTCTATAATAATATTATAATCCTGCTGTACTATAATTAAAACACACTTACGTCTTTTTAACATGCTTGTATATTGATATACATTATCAAAGCATTGTTGGTCGTCAAAAGATTTTTTCCTTCCACATATGTATAATCCATTTTAAGACGTTGACCCCCTACTTAGTTAGGCCCCATCTTACATGCACAATCAAAGGTCATGCTTTATAAAAGCAATGATTCGTAAAATGTTTTCATATTAATAATAATAACCCCTAGCTCCATGAGAAGAGATTTTTTTCCATTTAAATTTTTTTCTCTTTTTTGTCTCAATCTGATTACAAGAGGTCGTCAAATCTTACTCTAACCAATGTTTTGAAGCATTCACGTAATAAAGTACCTGGTCCAGCGTTTGAAATTGGTTATTTTGCTCGGGAATTTTTTTCAAATGTAAAAATAAGCATAGTAGTTAAGACTAAG